TTTAAGAAAAGGTATACAAATTGAAGAAAAAATAATTTAAAAATGAAAAAATACAAATACAAATAGCCAGTCTTTATCAATATATTATATTCAAAGGCTTCAAGTTAATTAAATTAATAAATTATCAACCATACTTACCCAGCCCTATTACCTCCAAGAGGCCCAGGACCAAATGGATCAAATCTGGCACCAGGTGGCACTGCTCCACTGCAAGACAAGCTTATTGTCTTGAAAAATTGTCTGATAATTTTTTAAAGCTAATATCTTATTTTATTGAGTTAATTTAATATAACAATTTGTATCCTTAGAAGGAAAAAAAATCACTTCAAAATAACATAATATTTATCAATTTATTATTTATAATTTATAAATTGATAAATATTGATAAATTTTTATTTCAGTGCAAGCAATACAGAGAATTTATTCTGTTCCCTCAAATGTGTGACAAATTTTAAAACCTTTAAACAAAGGCAAAATTTTCTTTACAAACTTGTGTCCAGATCATCATCAGTCTTTTTAGCTCTATCAAGACATATAAAATATGATGACGTCAAACAAAGTTTCTGAATAAGGTTTGGACAAATGAAACTTCCGACTGTGAAACAACACATAAAGCATTCAGTTGGAAGGTGTGCCTTAAAGGTGTTTCACTTACGGAGGTAATCGTCCCGGCAGTCCCGCACTGGGGTCTGGTCTCACTCCAGGCAACCCTCCTCTCCTGGGGTCCATCAGCATCCCACCACCCCCAGGGTGACCCCCAAATGGGTCAAGGTCAGCTCCTCCTACAGCAAAGGGATCATTCTGTTGCTCCCTATGGAGGTGAGAAACAGTGTAACAGTAACTGTAGCATCTCTGGTACAGGCTTTAGTCTTATGCGCATTTTTCTTTTATCAGATGGAAGAAAGCCTTCAAATCAAACCAGATAATTGTTCCATTAATGCTGTATAAATGTTTCTTTAAGTTACATGAACGCATACTATAGTTTCTTCTGCTCTGACGGACATGAGGCATATAATACTGAGTACAATAATCTTCAACTTGAAAGAATTATACACATAATTATTAATATATGATGTCCAAATGTAATTTATCCAACTTTTTATCAATGTCATTCATAAACCATACAAAAAATAAAGAGAAAAGAAAAAGAAAAAAAATTAAAGAATTACCATTCATGCCTGCTCCTCTGTGAATGTGACGGTGGTATCCTCAGAGGATCATCCTCATCTCTACTATGACCCTGTCCTCTCCTGCTACCTGCTGCCCTCTGGTGAGCATTCCCTGCAACAAACTCAGCCAGTAGCTCTTGCTTGACTCTTGACTGTAGTTTACTCATATTTTTGGTGGCACTAAAAATAAAAGAAGGTAAAATATATAAAGGGCACAATCTTTTTATATAAAATAATGCTTCACTGGAAGTGTCATTAATTTATTCTTTATCACCAAGTTACTAGTATTACATGAGGACTAAGACAATAACTCTAAGGTATGCCTCGTAAGTTTTCACAAAATTTCACATGATTTCACATGATTGACAGTGAATAAGAATACTACTAGTAGCATATACTACATTTAATCTTCTAGAGTATTTCATCAATAAATTATACTTGTACCTGTGGAATGTAGATAAATCCTCTGTGGCAAAGTCTTTCACCTTTATGGACATGCTTGCTACCTTTTCATCTTCATGACGCTGCACAAATAAGATAAAAAGTCATCTTCATGATATGAATACTGAACATATATTTAAATATAATTGTTATTTTTCTTCACTATTTATTTATTTATTTATTTATTTATTTATTTATTTATTTATATTCATTCACTCATTCATTTATGTATTTACTTATTTATTTATTATTGGTTGTCTACAACTAAATTTTCAACTTACCATCAAATGTACTAGAAGCATGCTGTCCATCTGTACAATCTTCAGCAGATATGTCTTGTGGTTGTGTTGGTACAGGAGCATGTACACATCTTGTGAGGAGTTCCAGTGGGAGGGCAGCATCTCGCTTTGACGAGGATGAGCTGGAACCTTTATTGAGCCAAGACTTTGAAATATAAATTACGGTAGTCATCATACTAGTAAAACTACCCCTCTCTCTCTTTCTCTCTCTCTCACGGCAGTTTTGACAAAAAAAAAAAAAAAAAAAAAAAAAAAAAAAAAAAAAAAAAAACGATAGCAAGAGGAAACGAGACAAAATGCAAGTTCTTCTTACATAACTGTGCTCTATACATGAATATGATTATTCTCCTTTGCTTCGGCAAAAAATGTTTTCCTTTACGATTTCACTCATTGCAGCGGGTTCAGCATTAATTTACTAGACAGTATACATGTACATGTACTGTACACACAATCCAAATATAGAAAGGACGGGTTTGTTGTTGATTTATGCAATTTCACTTATTGACACTCACCCTTTCTCCGCTACCAATGCATTTGAAATCATTGCTGACCAAGCACCAATGTAAAGAACTCACAACAACATCTTGTGCAGACGACAACTGATCTCTGACGCTGCAAAATAGCAATTCATGTCCAGCGTTAGCCATGTTTGTTTTGATTTCAAGGTCACGATATTTAGGTCATGACCTTTATAAATGATCTGATATTTCTTTGCAATTAGAGTCCCTAGAACGTCCGTCATGCAATATTGTGTTTCAGCATATGATAGATATTCGCTCGAGATTTTCTTTAATTTTGGGGAAATCTACTAAGGACATTGTCAGTAAAACATATATTATCTATCCCACAATCCCCAAGAACGCCAATATGTCTGCGCCCTGTGTAAACGTGGGAAAGAGATTTATTTTTCATTTTGTAAACGATTTAGTCGATTTCAAACTACCTGTGAGTGCTTTTTAATATAACACAAACGTTAAATACCACCAAAAATATTAATTCATGGTTTGTTTTGGATACTGTATATTTGATGATTTTTTTTCTCTGCATGTAAAAATTTATTTCACCTTCTCTAGACGTCGAATGTTTTCTTTTGTCCAAGTTATTCGGCATTGTTATAGGAACTGGTTTGTAACAAACACGTATTTTTTCGGTCTTTTAGGAACTTAAAGCAGTAGCGGACTACTTCAGTATTCAGCTCGGTTTTGATCCAAAATCGTACGACAAGCAGGTATATAATTCAATTTCATTTTAATTAACAGAATTCCGTAAAACCATTCTGCTCAATATTGGCTCTGCATAAAATATTTTCAGGTATGAATCTCTGTATATCATCTTAATAAAAAAAAAAAAAGTCTGGAACACCCAACTTGAATTTTGGCGAATTAAAATCTTTGCTAGTGAAAATCAGTGGCTGGCCGGGTTACATGCAGTTAATAGTACATGCAACCGCTGCAATTAATGAATGTGCTTGCATACCAAACTGTTTTGATTTATTTTGATATTAAAATATTGATGGATCCATATATCTCTAGCATATTTAGCACATACTTCAATGCGTCCAGTGATCAATATTCGTATGTCTTTTTCTTTTCTTTTTCCCAAGGACATAAATATCATTTCAAATTAGAAAAACATTTTTTACATGCATCTAAACTTTTTGTATATTGAAGTGAGATTTGTTTCATTTTAGGATCCATTCATTGTTGTAACTCTTGAAAATGAGAAGCAAGCAAAACAAATTACTAGCAGAACAGTACTTGTTAGGTATGTTTGTAATGATACAGTATACATGTTTCAATTTTATTTATTTATTTATTTCAAGATATACAAGCTTGCTTGCATTTTTGGAATTAAAAAGGTTAACTTTCATCTCTGCTTAAATTATGAAACATAGCATTCAAAAACCAGTTTATAGATTGTAAATTCATATGTGCATAGTGGAAGCAACTATATACATGTTTATCTGTGATATTTTCAGGAGTGTATATAATTACTGGGCAGAGGGAACATCAAGGGAAGAGTTGTACCAGAATATAAAACAGCTTAAAGATACTTTTAAGGTGACTTATCCATCTGTATCTAATATGCTGATGATATTATATGAATCATTTCTACATGAGTTAATTGTTAGAGTATTGTTTTTCTCAGTTGTAAACATGTGTAAACGTGTCAAATATTTAGATTTTACTCTCCTTAAATTTTGAGTGGCCATAACTCTAGCACTGTAGTGTTTTTTATAATGGTAAAAAAGTCTTTACAAATTCCAAGTGCTATTTGCCACAAAGTTATTATATTGTATTTTTTACAGGAAGCTTACTGTTCACCTAGCAGGTCATTTAAGATAAACATTGAGTCATACAACCTGAAGCAGGATTTTCAAACAATACCAAAAAGATTGCAGGTAAGTGCCTTTTAAGACAGTAAGTTTTTTTTTAACAAAAACTGAAATAGATGAATTAAATATATATTGTTTACTAGATAGTTTGTAATATGTGCTCCATGGAAACAATTTGAAGCAATGCAACTAGACCTTATATTTCCATAAGCCATGTAGATAACAATTAATGTATTAATTGTATGTAAATAAATTTTATCTTCCCAAAATAACAGAATGATGTTATCACTGAATGTTTCCAGGAGTTGGCAGAGCATGCAAACTTAGACCTGCAGGGTCCTGTGAACCTGTCGTCTCCAGACGTCTCCTTTTATTTCCTGGAATACTACGGCTCTCAAGGGACTAAACCCGTGGCCAAGAAACTGTACTTTGGGACATGGGTAACCTTTGTTTTATTTATTTTTTTATGAATTTATTTTTTTGTTTATTTATCCACTTCTTCATTCACTCATTCATTCATTCATTCATTCATTCATTTATTTACTTGAGTATTTATTTCCTAATTACTTAAAGCAATAATAACTCTTCCTTTGAGATTCAAAATTCCGCAAGAAATACATTGTAAACAACACCTGGAAATATATTCTATTGCATTTTCCCACTAAAACGACTGTTATTGTAGTAAAACTAAAATCTGTGCTTGTCACTTGGGCTTTCGATGCCTTTCTTCACGGTCGACAAGTGCATCCGTTGCCAATGACGTTTAGGTGTCACGCAGATTCTCGCGTTCATTCGAGACCAAAATAACATTGGCGGGAAACCCTCAGACGTAAGTTGCGAGTTTTTGTACAGTGCGTCGGATAACGAAAAGCCCAGGATTGCACACATTGTAGATATAAATGCATTTTGAGCAATAAGACGAATATATATCTTATGAATCTTATAATATTGTTATATAGTGTTGTTGTTGTTGTCTGCTTTTCCCGCGGTTTTAAGTAGGTCACCAGAAACTATCGCTCGATGTCGCGTGACTGCCATGTCAGAGAGAGGGCTCCGTCAGTTAAAATCTCTTAAGAGATTTTAACAAAAACCGTACGTTTTGGAAAAAAACCCTGGATTAACTTTGAATGCAGGAATGGGGTTGTTGACCATTGGTTAGTACGGGAAAATTGCCATTTTTTCCAGGAAAATCATATTTTTGGCCAAAACAAAGAGTTATTATGACGAAGAGTTATTATTATTTATTTATTTATTTATTTATTTATTCACTCATTTTTTCATTAATTAACTTATTTATTCAATTATTCAATTAATAAATTTATTATTTCATGAAAACGGTTAAAGAGGAATATGCTTGAATATATTGTGTAGAAATAAATAATTATGCTGGTTTATGTTGCATAAATTGTGCTGAATTATGTTTGATATGATATGATATTTAAATATGATTCTTGCTGATGATTCAGGTAGCTGATGGACAGAAACATTTAGCACAAAGATATGATCTCAAAAAAAGACATTACATAGGTGAGACAGCAACAGTCCAAGGTGTGAAAACTAACGTTAAAAATAAAAAGCACTGTAACAGTTGTTCATGTTGGTACAGGGTTGTCATGAAGACAGTGCTAAAAATGTGTAGATCTCTTGTCTTACATCTTCTTAACCATAGAATAACACCAGTTCAACAATTGGAGTCTGTCCTAAATAATAAATATAGATTATTCATAAACTTTTTGCTATTATCAGCATATATGGGTCTTATCCAGTATTATGCCAGTTGCAGAGAACTGTTTCCAGTATATCTATGAGATTCAATATAATTTTTTTTTTTACGCAATGGAACTCCATTTAGCCGCAGTAAGGCCGCATTTACAACAGCTGACTAACAAGTCTTAGATGCTTGATGTGTAATCCCCGCTCGGCACCTGTTCAGTGCATATTGAGGGTTTAGACGACAATCTCTTAAGTGGGTCACCATATTTGATCCATGGACTAGTTAGTCTGCTGTTCTGAATGCGGCCTTAATTATTACAGTAATTATTTTTTTTTATTAATGTTTATTTATTTATTTATTTTTATGTTTTTGTCACCAATCAGGCAATACCAGCATGGATGCCAGACTGTCCCTCCTGGTGTCCAACCTGGCCCTGGCTGGACCTGGCAGCTGGGTACTGGACCCCTTTGTGGGAACAGGTGAGATATCAAATCTAAAATGCCCCATTCATCTATTTTCTGACCCATGTTGTACACTGTTATTTAATGTGTAATCCTCCCTTATTCTCCAACCATCTGGGGTTAAGTCTGATGTACTGTTTATAGCCAGTTCAGCTTGATTATCTCCCCTCTTGATATTTGTCATGTTTGTAAGATAAAATATTTTGTGAACTTTAAGGGAGCTGCTTCTCTAACAGGATTTTTATTATTTCAAATGTTATCAACAATTATTTAATAGCCTGTACTCCAAACAATTGGCTATTATATTTTTAATTCCCATTATTACCCATATTTTGGTAAACCTTTGTAAATTTCAGTTGAAAATCTTCAGTATTTTAGACATTG